CCTGTACACGCTGGGTGAGAACATCTTTCAGTTAACTAGCTTGGGGCAATTGGATTGATGAATAGTGACTCAATTCCCTTGAAGAAACTAGGCATACTAAATTGACTATGAAGAAATTTGGCATTAAAAAAACCAACTAAATTCTTCTGTATAAAATGCTTTGTAGAGTAGAATATTCTATAGAAATAAGGTATTATGGTAGTTAATTCTGCTATGTAAATCTGGTGTTTTTAAATGAATTGGCATCCCAAAACAATGATAATTTTTTAACTTCTAGAGGAAGAGAAGAAGATAAGACATTACTACATCACTGAAGGTGGTATTTTGCAAACCAATTTGTTCACTTAGTCATTTCATCTGGCCAAATTACAATGTACTTGTTCCCTTTAGCTATGTTATTGACCAGTGCACAGAATATCATACATAACCTTGCAAACTAGAGGGAGTTATCTTAATCCTTGTTATTATTTCCCTCTTAATGTTACCAGGGACCAAACCCTATTGAAATAAGCAAAACCTGAGAAATGTTTTTCATATGACCGTTAACACCTTTATATAAAAGAATGACATGTACATATCTGTATGAAGAAACAAAACGGCTTATATATCTTTAAAAAATCAAATCAGGGAGCTTAAGATACCAGCATATTTTAGTCAAGACAACCATTTTTATAAAAGAAAATATTTTAATTTTTGGTTTGAGTCCATCAAAAATATTTAATATTTGTAGTATTTATCTTTCACTGACATGGCTTATTTCATTTAGCACAATAATTCTCCAGGTCCATCCATGCTGTCACAAAAGGTAAGAGTTTCTACTTTTTTACTGCTGTGTAGTATTCCATTGTGTAAAAGTACACAGCTTTTTAATCTACTCATCTACTGATGGGCACTTAGGCTGTTTCCAGATCTTGGCTATTACAAATAATGCTTCTGTGAACACAGGGGTACATGTATTTTTTTGTGTTGGTGTTTTGGGATACTTAGTATATATTCCCAGGAGTGGAACTGCTAGGTCAAAAAGGACTTCCATTTTTAATTTTTTGAGGTAGCTCCATATTGTTTTCCACAGTGGCTGGACCAGACTGCATTCCCATCGACAGTGAACTGGGTTCCCTGTTCTTCACATCCTCGTCAACACTTGTTTGTTGATTTATTGATGGTAGCCATTCTGACAGGTATAAGATGTTATCTCATTGTGGTTTTAATCTGCATCTCTTTGATGATTAGTGATAATGAGGATTTTTAAATTTGCCTATGGGCCATTGTATGTCCTCTTTAAATAATTGTCTATTCAGGTCCTTTGCCCCTGTCTTAATTGGGCTGTCTATCTTCCTGGCATTGCATTGTATTAGTTCTTTGTACATTTTGGAGATTAAACCCTTATCAGATGTATCCTTGGCAAAAATGTTCTCCCATGCACTGAGTTCCCAATTCTTCTTACTGATAGTTCAGTCAGTGAAAGATAAATACCACATGATCTTGCTTATATGTGGAATCTAATGAACATAATAAACTAACAGAATAGAAACAGAAGCATAAGTACATAGAACAGACTGTGTGTCCAAAGGGGAAGTAGGGGGAAACTAGATGAAAGATGGTGAAGGGATTAACCAAAGAACACTTATGTACAACCCATGGACACAGACTGGATATGGGGATTGACTGAGGGAGGGGAGAGTGTGGGGATGGATGGAGGTGGGGAAGGGGAGAAAAATCGAGAATAACTGCAATTGCATAAACAATAAAAAAGATATACAAAAATATTAAACACAAAATTTTCACTGAAAATTCTAAATAGTTTTTAAATGCTGATAATCTAGTTGAACTAGGTTTGATGGACTAAACTGATAAACCAGCTTTCCTGGTCCAAACAGCAATAAACATTTGTTAAGAGAGGCCTGGATTGTATAGCAAACAGTGGGCCCAGGAGCAGAAGGAACAGAGATTTTTAATATAGAATGCCTGGCAGTAGCGTTGGTCCTTTTGCAGATGCTTTTCCTGGGGGGTGGGGCGTTGGTTGGGCTGCTAGAACTGCACTTTAGGGGAGTCTGGTTACTGTTTCTATGAGTAAGATAAAATGGTGTTTATCCTCTGTTGATCAATATTGTCTTGTTTGAACTTATTGAGTCATTTGGAGACACATAAGGCAATGACAGCCATTGTGCAATAGTACCCAACGTGCTACTCCACTTTCTGAGAGGTGGCAATATTTTAGATATTGCTGAAACATTTTTAATATCAACCAGCCATGTGACGAAATGAACACAGACTGTGACAGATGTCCTGTGTGTTTCTGTGGAAGGGGAGTTGGGTTTTTAACTAAGAGTTTTCTTGAGCAACATTCTCTAAAATATACTGTTTTTTGTTGTTGTTGTTTATAATAAAAGGGTATAGGTTGTCTCTTTCTCTGAATAAATGGAATAGGGTTACTCTTTGTGTCTTATTAAAACTTCATTATTTTTGTATAATTTTTAATTTAAATTATGTTGGTAATGTTTTGACAAACAGGTGCTAGTGGATGGGTTCAGAAAGTTTAGGAAACTTTTCTGGAGGTTGTGACACATGGGAGAATGAAAAGGGAAGATAATTTTGCTGAACTCCTTGTGTGCTAGGAACTGTGCTTAACTGTTCACTACATCCTCTCATTCAATCTTCACTAAATTCTATGGGGTAGATTTTACCCCTGTTTTGTATTTGAGGAATCTGAGATTCAGAGAAGTTAAATATTATGCCCAAGGTCACAAACCTAGGGAGTTTTGGTGCAGGCATTCCAACCCAGCTCTGTCCGGAAAAAAGTCCAGTGTTCATTCTATAATTAATCCAGAACACACAGGACCGTAAGTCTGTAATAGACACAGGGATGGTCCTGTGTGATGGGAGATGGCTGGATTTGTGAGGTCCCTATTCAGTTGTCATGATTCCAGTAGTGATGATTTCAGCCAATTGTTATTATGAATGTTGGAGATGGGCTATAAAAATGACTTGTCCTTTTCTAACCTGTGTTTTGAGGAATACCATTTCTCAGAGATGTTTATAGGTGTTCCTGGAAGATGTTCTGTTGTAAATTAAGCTTAGAAAACAAAACATTGCCTACTCACCTAGACATTCACAACAAATGAACATATTTATATGCAGTGTAAATCCTCAGTCGTGAGTGCAGTGTGATGGCGACACGCCTGGGCTCTGGAGTCCCAGCCCCTGTCTGAGAAACCTGGTTCTGCCACTTTTCAGCTGGGCATTGTTGAGCCTGATAGGTTACTTATTTGAGACTTAGTTTTCTCACTTGTAAAATGTTATAATAGTATCTACCTTATATATACCTGTTCTAAGAATAACATGAAATAAATGCGTGGAAGGTGCTAAGAAATGTACTTGGCAATATAGTGCTTATAGTTCTAATGTGTGCCTGTTGTTATTATTACTCAAAATACTCATGTAGTAACAAGACCTAGGTAGCCACCATTTCCTCAACTTAGTTGATAATAGAGTCACTTTTGGAGTCACATTTATTAATCTGTACTGAATACAATATAGAAAATATATCTGAAATGACACAAAACCAATGTGGTATTAACCCAGTTGGAAATAACTGACTACTCAGTGTTTTTATATCCATTGTGTCATTTTATATTTGCCTATAACAACTAATTTTTTTTCTTTCCAACTATCTTTCCTGTGTGCTTACACTTGATAAGTAATAAATTAGAACAGTAAAATTGAGAAGTTATCTCAAATGGGCAGTATCAACATGATTCCAGAAAATATGGCTCTTACAAATGAACCTATAAATCATTTGTTTATTACTCTGTATTTAGTAGGGCAGGGCCTCAGTGCCTTGGCAAATATGTGATTTCACTTTTATTTTCAGACCTATAGTATGTGTCTTGGCACCTACTATAAAGAATGTTTCAGACCAGACCAACACATCTTTGCTCCTAAATTACAATATAATTAGAGTAGAATTTGTCAATGTATATTTTGCAAAACACTAATCCAGCACAAATAAAATGTTCTTCATCTTCTTGGAGACACACAACACACATCTGAAAAGTTCTATGGTAAATCAACATATTTAGCTGAAACCCATTCTCTTTGGGACTGACTTTGACAATCATGGAACAAAAGTCTTTTGTGTAAAATAAACATACAGGGCTTTCTGCTAGGAATGGGATATTACTGACAAGCGCCCTGATTAATTTATTTCTTTAATTAAAGTACTAGCATATTCTCATTGCAAATCATCTTTTTGGAGTGAACAAAAAGATTATGTGAAAATGTATCCACTGCAGCACAATTGCCCAACCCATTCTGAAAGGGAAAGATCTAATAATTAGCCATCACAAGGAAATTTAACACACTCAAAGCCAACCATTTTCTATGACTGTTTTTTTTCTTCTAGAATGAAAGGTGAATAGCTTAGGGAACTCCTTTGGTTAGTACAGTAATGGCAGAGGAAATAGCAAGAATTCACCAAGCTGGTATTTTTGTTGTGGTTTTGGGGGGTTATTTTCAGGTTGAAGGAGAGAAAAAGATAATTGAATATATGAAGTTTAAATATGATAGGCATTATGGCCCATACAGAGAACTCAGAGTCTACCAGTGATGGTGATACTCCTTCTCTTGTCCATACATTTTTTTGTTTCCCAGTGTCCTGGGACCAGGACAGGTGGCAAACCCACAACTCTCCCTGTTGTCTAGCTACTGCTAAATAACCATTTCAGAAACTTGCTCTTGACCCCGAAATGATAAGTCTGCACTTTTTGAAATCTCAGGAAATGATTATATCAAGGAACAAAAGATGATCATCTTTTGTATGATCATTCCAACATTTTCTTGGTTTTTCAGGTTGCTTCACAGTGTAAAAACAAACCAGAAAAATCCCTGACTTAGGATCTAGAACAGAAGAGGGTAGACGCTGTTTTCACTGCATTTCCACGGATCCACACTGCACGATTTGACAGATTTGAAAGAGAAAAAGCAAAACACATGGACCATACCTGAGTGATTTCAGAGATCCCCACCCGGAAAAGGTTTCCTTGATTATGGCGAATTCAACGTGTCACTCTGGTTATGCGCTAATCATCATATCAAACTCCAAAGGTTCAGTGGCTTTAGGTTTGGTTTACAATTCCTGGGAGTTAAACTTTAACTCACCCTGTCTCTTGCATCCATGCAGCCCTTTGACCAGACAATTGGGTCACTAGAGCCCAAAGAGAATCTACAAAACTACTGTTGTCATTTGTTTGCAAGAGGAAAATGAATTTTTGCATTAAAATATTGACATTAATATTATTTTGAAACTGTTTCAGCCACATATATTTCAAAGCAGAACTCAGGGCAATTTGTGTAAACCAAATTTTTTTTTTTTTACATTAGCTCCCTGTTTTCTACTTATGCCAAAATGAAATTAAGCCTAAGATAATTTAGGAGAATATTTGTTTGCACTTTTCATATCACTGTATTGCATGGAGTACAGAGTGGAGTTTAGGTGAAGTATGTAGCTAAATGCTAGCTTACAAAATCAAAATATACAAAACATTTATATAAGCAAGTAAATAGGGTCAGATCAGGTTGGGGTAAGTGTGCTTTTTATACAAGATGCTCATTCAGATTTTAGGAGAAGGCCATCACTGTGAAAGCACAGTAATCAGCTATTTAGCAGGTTATATGAGAGGCAAGGCTGTTGTTGATTGCTTGAAATCCCAGTGGCAACTGTTTTTCTTGAAGAATCGAGAAATAGTATTTTTAAGGTTATAAATTCTACATTCTAAATTTACTAGGAAGAGCTCTAGTCTATGGAGGAAATTCCTAAGGGTAATAGAGCCCACTTAAACAAATAAACATACAGACAAACTAAAACCCTTCTAATTTGGAGTAAATTTTAAGGGTTGATAAAACCACAGGCCCCCAAACTAGAATTAGAGGACACTCACTTGGCTTCAGTGCTATGAAGAGAAGTCTTAATTTTCCAGGACCTAACTATTCACAGAAGTACTTTGGCTATAGAAAAGCACAGAGTGAGCTGTGATTCCATAATATAGACATAGAGGAAGATAAATCAATAAAACACATCTGGGGATGTAAAACAGGCAAAACCAACCAACCAAACAAACACAACACTGTCAGATTTGTAGGCCCGCCTGCAACCCCCCCTAAAGCAATGTGCAGCAAGGTTTTAATAAAACACCCCAGGAACAATTGTTTTGCCCTGGAATTGTCCTCCTGCAGTGGGACATAAGGGAAGCATTTATGTCCCACTGAGCCAGACAGCTGTGGGAGGGGCAAGCGCTTCTACAACCTCCCTGGAAATGGATACCGCCCCCTCCCCGCGTCAAGCAGTGTTAATCAGGTTTTCTCTGTGAAAACTCAGTCCTGGCTTCTGGTTCCCAAATAAGTGAGGAATTCTCACCTTGAGTCTGCCTGGTCCTACAAAGAATTGTTGATGTAAGACAGTCAGTCTTAAAAGGGTTTCCTTAATTATTTTGTGTGGAAGGTGCCTGGATGGGGAGGAGTGCAGATGAAGAAAGGAAAGCCAGTGTTTTCTAGGTAGCTGGTGATGACAACAACATACAACAGTTCTAAGAATGAATTATATTTACTAGTTCATAAAAATTATATCAGTATTTTATGGGGCCTGGCATTCAAGAGAACAGGCCTACAATTACGTTAAACCAAAGTGTTTGGAAATCAGTTAAAGCAGTCCTAAAATCTGGCAATTCAAGCAGGAAAATTCATGTATTACTCGTAAAAGCACATTGGCAGTTGTGGTATTATTAGGCTATTACCACAAAGCTTTGTTCCTTTTTATTTCTTAGCCATATTTTGTTGGAACAATAGGGATATGTTGATCAGCAATAAAAAGAAACAATACCGGATCAACCCTCTTTCTGAAGGTTACTCAGGAGACAGCTTTCCGCCTCAGAACAAAGAGAAACCAACTGATAATGAGATCAAATTCATGACCTTGATCTCATCAGTCTAATCAAGGGAAATAGCTGTGTCTAGAATGGCAAGGCTTGCTTTTATTTTGTAAAAATACACCCGGTTTCGTCCTCCTGGGGCCTCCTCCTCCTGGAAGGGACAAAGCAATAAACAAATAAACCTGGTTTAAAGAGTGACTGGTAAATATTTTTTCATTTGTTTGTTCTACAAGCAATTACCGAGGACCTTCTGTCTGCTAAGCATTGTGTTAGATGGGTGATGATTTAAAGTGAAAGTAGAATCTATTAGCAGGTTGTAAAAATCCATAAACCAGGTTGAATACAACAGAATAGAAAATATCAAGTGAATTGCCCCTACCATGTGTATGAAGTGTTCATGAAACTTCTCTTTCAGTTACCTGTATATGTGTACTGGTTATGATGTAATTTTAATTTTTTTTAATTGGGAAGCACAATTTGAAAAGGTTGCAAAATCCTGTGTTAGTCTCTAGGAATTTAATGGTTAACAAGCCAGATACAGGGTATATGCATTAACCAAATACTGCCCCCAAAGAGTGATGTCATAACAAATACTACTAAGGAGAGTACAGGATGCTAAGATGCATGGACCTAATCTAGTGTGGGACTAGGGGTGAGTTGAGGAAAGTCTTCTAGAACATCAGACATTTAAACTGAGGACTGAGGGATGCATGGGGTAGTGGGGTGGGCATTTTAGTAGGTGGACATAGCACATGTGGATGCCCTGAGGTTGAATGAGTTTGGCACATTCAAAGAAGCGGTTGAGAAGTCCAGTTGAGGGGTAAGAGGGAGATGTGGGGGAAAGCATGGAGGTCTACTCATACAGGTTCCCAATGTTGTCCTGGCATAGTGGGAAGTCCCTAAAGGGCTTTAAGGAGAGCAACACAATCTACTTCAATATTTTCTGGGTGTAGAGTTGAGAGTAGATTGTCATAGATGACATTGTCTGTCTCTCTCCTTTTTTACTGAATTATAATTCACATGTAACATTATATTAGTTACTCCTTTTTAAAATCAAAATATGCTTGTGTTAGAATTACTTAATTCATGTATGTATTAAGAGTTAGTGATTTGTATTTGAGAGGGGCAAAGCATATGACAGACCAGTTAGAGAGGAGGTGGCAGGTGATGGTGGTTGAGATTAGGGTGGTGGCATTAGCGCAAGGAAAAAGGGTCAAAAGAAGAAGTTTGCAAAGTGGACCATATGCAGGTGCATAATAGGTGCTCATTAAATGGTAGCTATCACAAATCATTTGCATGTGAACTATTTTTGGCTGATGGATTTTAATCTTGTCTTTAATATCAGACTGACATTGCCACCCAGCAGAGCTGGCATATTTAGGCAAAAATCATTGGTTATTGCTGGCTTAGGGAAAACATAAAACTTAAACTAAAATATAATTCAAAGCCAGAGGTTACTAAGTGTAACCTCCCAGCCATCATCCTCCTCTTTCTATCTCAAGAAAAGATTTATTTACTGTTTTCAGTTTCCTAGGAATTCAAAATTCATTTTAGATGTTGGGTGGTTGGGTAGAGGTATTTAGTTAACTTGAAGGGAATATTCTAAAGAATGAAAGAGCCATGTCAGACACACCATATAGGACAAAAGCCCAATTCCCTTTTTTTTGCTAATTGGGTAGAAAGAGCTTTGATTCCGAACCTGGCACTCAGGAATCTAGTCTTGAAGACCTCACTTATGAGCTATGTGAGCTTGAGCAAGCTCCTGCTTCTTGTCTGTGTCTCAGTGTCTTTGCCTTTAATAAGGAAAACATCTTCCTCCCTCATCTACCTCATTGACAATTGAGAGGGTCAAATGAGTTGGTATATGTGACAGTAATTTGAAAATAATGGAGTACCGTAAGAGTACAGTGTGGAGTAATTATAGAGCAAATTAAATCTGCATGCTTCAGCCTGCATGAGTGCCAGTTTTTGTTTTAAACCATGAAACAAGGACTTCTAGGATTTATGCCTGCTCTTTTAGAGATTCATAGCATTTCAAAGCTAAAAGCTGAATGCTATTCTTAATGCCTATAAGACTCTGAAAGATAGCAGAATGTGATTCAGTGGGTTAAAATCCATCTGTTCTTGGAATGTCATATCCCAGGATTTTAGACTTTTAAAAAAGGATTGGTTTTGTAACTAGAGCCATCTAGTGTTGAACTGATACATACACACACACACACACACACACACACACACACACACACATATACACACACACACACCTTTTGCTTGGTGTTCCAGGAAATTGCACTTGGGTCTCCTGCATGACATTTTCCATATCATGCAATTGCAGGATTAAATGAGTACTTGAGAATTTATCTAAAGTCTAGACTAAAAACCATGACAGCCAGCGGGATGCCACTCTGGGCCTGCCCTTCAAAGGCAAGATGTGTCTCTCACTTCTCCTGCCCTCTTTTTCATAGTCATGCCCATGTTTCCTGAAGGTTCCTGCGGTCAGAGTTATTGAATATCTTCTTGTATTTTAAAAGCAATGTTATTTAGCTCAGCCATCCCCGAAACAAACATTGATTTTTGAAAAAGAACAATTTTAGAAAAACTTACCAAATCTAGTTTTTTCCTTTATAAATACTAGAAAATACATATCAGTAGGTCTTTAATTTGCACTGTGCTCTATTGCATGAAGAAAAGAATTCTCACAGACAAATTTCCACTAACTTTCAGATAACTGCTTGAGATTGTTATCATATAATTTCTTTTACTGATCATATCACAACCTGTTTCCTTGAGGTCATGTTACTAAGTTTTGACAAAAGTATGTTCTTTTTTGAAGGTAAGCATTTTGGAACCAAAGTTAAAACACATACATGCATATACACATGTGTGTACCATACCATACACACAAGCACACCAGACACGGATATGAAATCGCCATAATCTTTTCCCCCTTTCACACAATTGGACCACTCTTCGTGTCCAGCCGATATCTTAAATCCTTCAGGTTAATGAAGAATCTGAGAAGTCAGCAATTTCTAGCAAATTAGGCAGCATCTTAATTTTTTTTCCAGTAAAACTAGATCTGGCCATTGTAATAGCCTGCAATTAAATCAGTTTTAATTTAGCAAATCTAGACTTTCTACATCCAGGTAAGAAACCATTGATTAAT